CGGGGTTGGGAGGAAAGGGCTAGATGATGCTTCTAGCCAGAAAATGAGTTGGGCCCTATCTGACATGCTGCTGCTGTTGCTAATATACATGGTAAGAAGCTCACAGTGTGCAGTGAAATCAGAGTAACTAATTTCAGTCCAGGAGAAGAGCCGGTACAACTGTGCAAGACGGAAGGAAAGGCTGGAGGTCTGCTTTAAAGCTGAATTCCAGGTATGGCTTTTAATGCATAGTTACATTTGTGCAGCTTGGACTGATATAAGTATGCATTTGCCATACCTGCCATTCCTTTGGAAGTGGAAAATCACTGTAGCATTCACTGCTAGATTCCAGGTCGCATGCTGAGCAGCTGCCGTGCTGCACAGTGAACACAGGAGGTCGCTCGCTCGGCATAGGCCCCATTCACAGTTCTCTGATTGGATGAGGTGGAGAGGCAGGGCAGTGATGTTATGATCTCCTCCTTGTTTGGGTGAGGGTACTTTGCATTCATTTAGAAAAATGCAAGTCACCTGTGCTGAGCAAGCGACCTCCTGTGTTCACTATGCAGCACCAGGGACCCAGAAGATAGTGAGGACCACTGTAGAAGCAGCGACTACTATTTTTCAGCTTCCACCAGTCTCACTCACTGACCAGTCTCACTGCTGCTCTCTTCTTGTGCAGGGTGACAGGTCTTGTCTCTGCCTCCTCCTGTAGTTTTCTGCAGGCAGCCTGTAGTAGGTGGAGCCTGCTGGGCCCCTCCCACAGCTCTGTTCCCTGCACAGGGCATGTACAGCACAGTGATGATGGCGCTACTACCTTTACAAGGTAATATCTGGGTTTGCAAAGCCATTAGGTGCATAAAGTAGATTCCTATCCTTTGTGGCTATTGATCAATCGACTTAAATGAATTTTTTGTGTGCCTGTTCTTCTTTTAATTGTGGAAATAGTTTACTGATAGACCCAGATGCCTGAGCGGGAGGTGTACACTGTGTGATTTAAGTTGCACCTGCTCTATCTATATTTATATATGTCCTAGATTAGAGGAACACAGAGTCCAGCCCTGATCATTCTCCATATCTCCAGCTGAATCACAGTAGTCCAATCCTCCTAGCTGAGCCTTGTGTGTCTATAGGACATGCTGAGACTTGTAGTTCTACAGCAGAAGGAATATAGCAATCTTCTGACGTTATGCTGGGCTCTGTAGGTACAGGGGGGTGTCGCAGTGTGTTTTATAGGTATAGTACGGCAACATTCAAATCACAATCTTCAGATGTGAAGCCGATCTTTGAAACAGGAAGGATCTTTTGGGAAACATCGCTGCGCAAGTAGGGGGTACCGGGAATTATAGTGCCTCGAAAGCCATTTTTATTTTAAATAAAGCAGTGAGGGCTTAGAATCCCTGTCAAGTTTTTACTGCTGTCTGTGACCCCTCTGGGAAGATTTACGCATGCTACTTGTCAAAGGAACTAATTATCAGAGAGAATCCAACATTCTACCCATGTTAACACCTCTGCGGTGCGGCATATCGCATGTGATTCGCACAGGAACCACACCGCATTCCTGTGAAAATCTCATGCGAATTCTGTGCGGTGCGGCATATCGCATGTGATTCGCACAGGAACCGCACCGCATTCCAGTGCAAATCTCATGCAAATTCTGTGCGGTGCAATTTGAGCCATACATTTTGAATGCCTCAAATCGCATGCACACCAAGAAGGTGCAGGACCCTTTTTTTGGTCTGCACCAGAATCGGATCGCATGGGTATTCACACCTATGCGATTCGATTCTGCACATTGCACCGCGTTTTGCAAACTGATTTTGGGGTGTTCTAAACTTAACGTATACACCCACAGAGGTCGCATGAACGGGGAGCAATTGTGATGCGGGGCGGAATTCACACAGAAACCACTGCAAATTCCGCACCGCATCAGTGTGAACCCGGGCTCTGAGTGGTCATTGGCGAAAGAAAAGAGGGGAAAGCTTCTGATGGGGACACTTGTTCCAGTGACAACCGACAGAGATCTCCTCCCACTTCCTGTTGTGAGAGTAGAAATCCGGCACCAGATCAACTTGACATAAAAATGAATATCTTTATTTTAATCCATCAAACTATAAAAAGGAATCAATTCCTAAAGACTGACGCGTTTCAGCCTCCTACATAGGCCTTGGTCATAAACGAATCTTTCAGTCTTTAGGAATTGATTCCTTTTTATAGCTTGAAGGATTCAAATAAAGATATTAATTTTTAAGTCAAGATGTTCTGGTGCCGGATTTCTACTCTCTATTGGATTTTGGATGTCTAGTACTATGTGAGTCCGGGCAAAGATGTATTGATCTCATCCTGTTTATCCTGATGGGATTTTGAGGTTGCTGCACTTTTTTATTGTTTCATTCACTTCCTGTTGTGTGCCCAGTAGAGGAAGTGAAGGAAAGTCTCCTCTAATGCCAGCCATACATTATTATACAGTGTTTACACACGGGTCATATTGGGTCGAAATTTGACCGATTTTTCATCCAAAAATCGGACCTAAGAATAATCAGACGATTTTCGCTCTGTTAGTGGGTCAATGGCATCGGCGAATTTTCGTGGTTCCTCACCTTTTCAGTGATCGGACATGTTGGAAACATTCATGAAAAACTACCGATTTTCAACTCAATGATTTTCAAATCATACGATCATTTTTCTGAAAAAAATATGCGCATGAGCCGTGACCTGGAAGGAACAGAAGTTTTGCCTGTTTATACGGGGTGAACTTTATGACTTGGTCAGCCGATTTTCAAAATCATTTATGGCACCGTCGGATTACCGAGCAAACGACGTTTTCGATTTTCGGACGAAAAATCGTTCAGGGTTCAAACCATGTATGGCCTGCATTAGGGAAAAAAATAATCCAAAACTAAACCAAGAAAAAAATGGTTTTGCCTTAGATAGGCGTAGAAGAGCCACAGTAGGGGGAACTTCATAGACTCCAGCCTTTATAAAGGGGGACACATTTCAATAAAAAAAGGAGGGGTCATTGATGGAGGTGCTGGTAGTTTTCAGACTGTTTCAGCATCCTCATTCTACACAGGGCTTTTTTTCAGTGGGAATGCGGGGGAACACAGTTCTGGCACCTCCAGCACTGAATGTATGTAATGGCAAGGGGTACTGGAGTGTGCTGAGGGATCTATTGTCACTGGAGAGGATCAATTTTTTGAATGGTGGGCTACTGTTGCTGGAGAGGGATCTATTGTTGCAGGGAGGGATCTACTTTTGAGGGAGGGGTCTATTGTTGTTTGCTGATTGGAGATCTGTTGTTGCTGCTGGGGGTCTATATTTGCTGGGGTGGTATTTTGTTGCAGGGGTCCTTGTTGCTGGGGTATCTGTTGTTACTGGAGGGGGGTATTTTTGCTAGCTGTGGGGGATCTATTTTACTGTTTTTCTTGTTATCATTACCAAATTCCATACAAAATGATACTGGGCTTTGTATTCCCCAAAAGGAGCACTACTGGGAGGTGAGTAGGGGATGGAGCAGAGGTGGGTAGGGGTTGGTGATTCAGAAGAGGGGAGTTCCTGCACTCTGAGAAAAAGGCCCTGATTCTACAGATCAGATACAAATAGCTGTCATTTCTTCTAGGGAACATGTATAAAGTCATAGCTTTATTCTATCACAACCAGGGGCGGACTGACCATTTGGAAACTCAGGCACTGCCCGAGGGCCCGGGGTCAGTAGGGGGCCCCATGAGATGCCCCTGGTACCTTTTTCATAGGCCGTTTTGAGTTTGAGCAAGGACACAGGGGCCCCATGATCCTCTATTCCCCGGGGCCCCATGAGTTGTCAGTTTGCCCCTGATCTTCACCCAGTCTTCTTTCCAGGTTCCTGGACTGCGGCTGTTTGAATGGCTGAGCCGCAATGACATCACTTGTGTGCATGTGCGTAGGAGCCGCGGCACAGAGCTTTGAAGAAGTGGCATGAATATGCTGTTCCTTCAGAGCGCATACACCATAGATGTCACCAGATGCTGCTCTGCAGAATATCTCCTAAACGATGCACAGAGTAAGCTTTATGGGTAAAAAAGCTTTATTATGGGTAAAAAATTTACTACAACTTTAAAGAATATAGTCTAGAATAATACTTACTGCCCCCTTTGACAGCCCCCAGTAGAACCGGTGTTCCCATTGAAAGATTTCCCCTCTCGTCCCATTCTGGTGACAACTGGAACATTTTTGCTATCCCATGACCCATTTCGTTTCAGTGACATGGGTTTTTTACCATTCCACGTTCCATCCAAAACTAGAAAAAAACAAGAAAAAAGTTGTGTTTGGATTTTGTCTCTGAGATCTTAAGTAATATATTAATCAAAGTAACCTTGAAGTGTGCTAAATACAATGATATCATTGTGGAATGTGCAGAGATACTGAAGAATGTTACACAGGAATAGCAGAGTATAGGAGAAGAACCATGTATAAACATAATAATAATAATAATAATAATAATAATAATAATAATAATCATAATAATAATAATAATAGTACACAGAAAGCTCCGGATGAATACAGAGTTCAGCGGGGAAGCATGCTATGTAAAGTAATACAATGTCACGGAGTCGAGAGGAGCAGTGCTGTGTACACTATACAGAGCGGTGATATCATGACACAATGCTATATACCGGAGAACAGAGAGGACGAGCCCTGCTGTGTACAGAGTATTCCTGATAATGTCATGGAATATCGCACACACAAGCAGAGCGCAGTACAGAGGAGGTGAGGTGACAGTATGTCGCACACAGAGGCAGTGGAGTGGCAGGATGTGATCCTACAGAGCGCAGACTTCAGTATTATCCCCCCACCTCCTGTGCCAGCAGTGGGGGGGTTAATGAGGGGGGGGGGTGGCCTCACGCTGTGATTGGTCGGCTATAATCCGGGATCGGATCGTGCGGAGATAATCTGCGATCAGAGAAGGATCGGCAGGAGAGGAGCTGCCCGGAGAAGTCGGGGTGTCCAGTGTCGCCCCCTCATGGCCTGAATCTGCGGGGGGCACAATGTGGGGGAGCTGGGCTCTGCTCTACATCCTCCTGCCCGGCTGTACGGGGCCCGGGGCCCCTGCCCCCATCCCGCCCGACACGTGAGTCTCCTTTCTGCTACTTACTCCGACTGTTCAATAATTGCTGCCCCTCCAGACCCAGGAGCCCTACCTACCACCATAAGTACTGTCCCTCCGGACCCAGGACCCCTACCTACCCCATACTACCATAAGTACTGTCCCTCCAGACCCAGGACCCCTACCTATACCCTACTACCATAAGTACTGTCCCTCTGGACCCAGGACCCCTATCTACCCCCTACTACTATAAGTACTGTCCCTTCGGACCTAGGACCCCTACCTACCCCCTACTACCATAAGTACTGTCCCTCTGGACCCAGGACCCCTATCTACCCCCTACTACTATAAGTACTGTCCCTTCGGACCCAGGACCCCTACCTACCCCCTACTACCATAAGTACTGTCCCTCCCAGGACCTCTACCTACCCCCTACTACCATAAGTATTGCCCCTCCGGAACCTGCCCTACCTACCCCCTACTACCTGTACTGATCCTCCCAGGAGCCCTACCTACCCCCTACTACCATAAGTACTGCCCCTCCGGACCCAGGAGGACTACCTACCCTCTACTACTAAAAGTACTGCCCCTCTGGACCAGGAGCCCTACCTACCCCCTACTGCCATAAGTACTGCCTCTCTTCCTACGATCATACCTACTGCCCCTCTGGACCCAAAAGCCCCTACCTACCCCTACTACCATAGGTACCGCTCCTCCCAACCCAGGTGCTCCTATCTACCCCCTACTACCATAAGTACTGCCCCTCCTGACCCAGGAGCCCCTACCTAACCCATACTATCATGAGTACTTCCTCTCTGCAAGAACCCCTTCCTACCTCCTACTAGCATACCTACTGCTCTTCTTTACCTAGGAGCCCCTTCCTACCCCCTATTACCATAAGTAATCCCCCTCTCCAGACCCAGGAGCCCCTACCTAACATCTACTGCTATAAGTACTGCCTCCCTGGACCCAGGAGCTCTTCTACCTAACCCATGCTATCATGAGCACCACCTCTCTGCAGAAGCCCCTCCATACCTCATATAATCATACCTACTGCCCCTCCAGACCCAGGAGTCCCTACCTACCCCTTACTACCATAAGCGCTTCCCCACCGGACCAGGAGCCCCTATCTACCCATACTATCATAATTACTGTCTCTCTGCAAGAGTTCCTTCCTATCTCCTACTAGCATATCTACTGCCCCTCCGAACCTAGGATAGCCTATCTACCCCCTACTACAGTAATCACTGCCAGTTTGGATCCAGGAGCTAGAGCCCCTACTTACCTCCTACTTCCATTATTACTATTCCTCTGAATTATCCCCTGTCTAAACCCTACTATCATACCTACTGCCCTTCTGTTCCTAGGAGCACTTACTTCCCCCCTACTACAGTAATGCTGCAACGTTGGACCCAGTAGCCCCTACCTACGCCCTACTACCATGATTTCTGCCCCAGGAACCTCTGCCTACCCATTACTATTACCAATAATAACTACCCTTTCAAACCCAGGAACACTTATTTCTCCATTCTACTTTTACGACCCAGGAGCCCCTACCTACCTCCTACCACCATAAGTACTGTCCCTCTGAATCTAGGAGCCCCTACCTATCCCCTACTACCATAAGTACTGCCCCTCTGGATTCAAGAGCCCCTACCTACCATTTATTACCATAAGAACTGCCCCTCCAGACTCGGGTTCCCCTAACTACTCCTATTACCATAAGTACTGTCCCTCTGTACCCAGAAATCCTCTACTCCTGCTGTAATACCTGCTCTCCCTCTGGATACAGAAGCACCTACCTAACCCCTTCTACATTAATCACTGCCACTCCACACATAGATTCCTCTACCTACCCCTTACTACCATGATTTCTGCACCTTCAGACCCAGGAGCCCTACCTGTTCATTATTGCCATAATGAATGCCCCTCCAGACCCAGGAGCCCTCATCTACCATGACGATTTTGCTCCTTTAGAACCAGGAGCACCTACCTACCCCCTACTACCATGATTCCTGCTCCTTCAGACCCAGGAGCCCTTACCTTCCTATTACTACCATAATTATTCCCCATCCAGACCCAGGAGCCCTTACCTGTCCCCTACCCCCACAAATGCCACCTTTGAAGGACCCAGAGCCCCTACCTGCGCCTTACTACCATAAGTATTGCCCTTCTGGACCCAGAAGCATCTACTGACTCCCTACTGAAGTAATCACTTCCACCCCTCACCCAGAATCCTACCTACCCTGACCATTACTCCTCCAGACACAGGAGCCCCTATCTACTTACTACTAAAGCAATTACTGGCCCTCTAGATCCAGGAGCCCCTTGCTATCTCATCCATTACTCCTCCAGACCCAGGAGCTTCTTATCTGCTACTATAGTAATTACTGTCCCTCCTCACCCAGGAGCCCCTAATTGCCTCCTACCACCGTCACTACTGCCTGTCTGTACCCAGAAACTACTGACTATCCTCTACTATAATATTACTGCCTCACCAGGCTCAAGGAGACCCAGGAGAACCTGCCTACCCCAGAATACCATAATTACTGTCCCTACAGACCCAGAAGCCCCTACCTACACCTTACTCTCAAAACAATTGCCCCTCCAGACCCTACCTCACCCATTATCACTTCAGACCTAGGAGCTCCCACCTATCACCTACTATAATAATTAGTGCCCCTCTGGACCTAGAAGCCTTAACTAGTGCCAGTCCCCTTACCGGAATATTACCCCAGTCACTGTCCCTCCAGACCTAGGAACCCCTACCTACTGCCTGCCCTGAAACCCCAAGTTACCTCTGAGTTACCTTTCGACTACTCACTCAGACTGTTGTTACCCCAATTTCACTCAACACTGGAGTCACTGTTCTTACTATACTGAATGTTTGTCCGCCTGCTTTTACTACCTTCCAAACTCTACCCTACCACCTTCTGATATTACTTATTGGGCTTCTGTTGCCATATATACAGTAGGATGCAACACATAAAATGTCGCCATGCTATCTTGTTTAGCTATTGTTTGGTATATTTGGACACAAAAGTTTTTGTTTCTTTATTTCCTTTTTTCGTGAAATGTATCTGTTGGAGAATCAGGACATGGGTACCCTGTCCAAACCCCCCCCCCCCCCCCCACCCCACCTTATGTCTGTTGTATCCACACACCCAGGGGCAGACTGACAACTCATGGGGCCCCCGGGCAATAGGGGATCTTGGGCCCCTGTGTCCTTGCCCAAACTCAAAAAAGCCTATGAAAAAGGTACCAGGGGCATCTCATGGGGCCCCCTACTGACCCCGGGGTCTCGGGCAGTGCCCGAGTTTCCAAATGGCCAGTCCTCATCTGCACACACCTCTACTGTCTAGTTTCACCTACTACCCACTGTACACCCCACCAATCTGCTGCGCTAACTGCCCTCCAACCTAACTGTAACCCCGTTTACCCCTCTGTCCTGTCTATACACCCCCCTGATGTGTACACTATTTTGTACCCCAATTTCCCACCATCCTTCACCAGCTATCCCTGGAAGCATATGCAGTTCTACACCACCCTGACTTCTAGTTCTTCAGCCTGTGCCCATCCTTCCTAGAATCTACGCCTCTACTTACCTGCCAACAGCTCCCAACACCTACCTGTCTGCCATCCAGTCTTCTGGGCTGCCTAGCTCTCCTTCATCCACTTACCTCCTCCTTCTAGTGCAGGCTGGGCAACCTTCAGGCACCCAGGGATCATAAAACTACAATTCCCAGCATGCTCAGTACCTGCCAGGACTATGGAGGGATAGTTTTCTTTTGTTTGTACTACCAAAAACTGACTTGTATGTTTTATAAGCTATCAATGTTTTGATAATGTTACAGCTACAGAAACAAGTTACATGTTATCTGATATATCCATTTCCTTATAGTAACAGAAGGATTTACTGTCTGGTGATGCATGTTCAGTTCATCTAGAACTAATATTTCAGTGTTTAAGGATGCTGAAAAGTAAAACCTTCTGATTGTCTCTTTTGTTTCCTGGAGACTGTTGGTTAGATTCCTGTGTGGCCATTGTGTACCTGGGGTTCCCACCATCCCTGCACTGCATTCCTGGCTCTGCAAACCTGCTGTGCCCATTAGGAGGTTTTCCCATTATCCCTGCACTGAGTTTCTGGCTCTGCAAACCTGCTGTGCCCATTATGAGGGGTTCCCACCATCCCTGCACTGAGTTCCTGGCTTTGCACACCTGCTGTTCCCATTGAGGGGTTCTCACCATCCCTGCACTGAGTTCCTGGCTTTGCACACCTGCTGTTCCCATTGAGGGGTTCTCACCATCCCTGCACTGAGTTCCTGGCTCTGCACACCTGCTGTGCCCATTATGAGGGGTTTCCACCACCCCTGCTGGATTTATATTTATATTAGAAGAAGATCAGGAACACACAAAGGTAGTCCATAACATTTAAAACTCACACAGGTGGACAGGAACAGAGCTGATGATTATGGCAAGGAACTCTCATTACTTGAATAATCTAGACATAAGAAGCCAGGGCTGGCTCTGCTCCACCTATTCTTAACGTGGTTGTAAACCTTCATTTTGAAAAAGAATAAAATGAAAGAGAAGTTATACTTACTTGCTCTGTGGTATTGCAAAGAGCGGTCTCTTACCTTCTCTTCTGGGTTCCCCTGCTGGTGACGTCCGCTCCTTCTCTTCTGAGTGTGTCCCTATAACAAGTTGTGTGCTAAGGGGGAACACATGCTCTTGAGCTGGGCTGTGTGCAACCATAGACACACACAGCACGGCTCAGCCACATACCCCCTCCCCCCAGGATTTGATTGACAGCAGCAGGAACAAATGGCTCCCGCTGCTATCACTGAAGCCTGTGAGAGCAGGGAGAGAGGAGAGAAAAATTGCAATGGGGTACAGCACTGAATTGATGTTGAATTCAGGTAAGTGTTTAGGGAGGTGGGGGGGGGGGGGGGGGGGCAGGTAGTGGAAGCTTTTTTACCTTAAAGCGGAGTTCCACTCACCCTGTCAAATAATAAAAAGTCAGC